GGGGCCCAGGTTCAATCCCTGGTCGGGGAACTAGGATCCCACAAGCTGAGCAGCTCGGTCAAAAAAAAAAAACAAAAAACTAAATATACTCTTACCCTACCATCTGGCAGTCATGTTCCTTGGTATTTACCCAAAGGAGTTGAAAACTTATGCCCACAGCAAAACCTGCATGTGGTGTTTATAGTAGCTTTATTCATAGTTGACAAAACTTGGAAACTACCAAGTTGTCCTGCAGTAGGTGACTTGAGAAGGCAAAACTATGGAGACAGTGGAAAGATCAGCAGTTGCCAGGGGTTGAGGTGAGGGGTGGGATGAATAGGCAGAACACACGGGATTATCAGGATACGAAAAGACTCTGTATGATACTATAATAATAGACCCATTTCGGGCTTCCCTGGTGGCGCAGTGGTTGGGAGTCCGCCTGCTGATGCAGGGGACACGTGTTCATGCCCCGGTCTGGGAAGATCCCACGTGCCGCGGAGCGGCTGGGCCCGTGAGCCACGGCTGCTGGGCCTGCGCATCCGGAGCCTGTGCTCCGCAACGGGAGAGGCCACAACAGTGAGAGGCCCGCCTACCGCAAATAAATAAATAATAGATCCATTTCGTTATACATTTGCCTAAACCCACAGAATGTACAATACCAAGAATGAATGTAAGGTAAACAATGGACTTTGGACGTTGATGATGTGTCAAAGTAGGTTCATCAATTGTAACAAATATAGGGGATGTTGATAATGGTAGGAGCTGTTGAGAGGGGTTACTCTGGTAAGGAATGTTGATAATGGGCGGGGCTATGCATGGTGGGATAGGAGGAATATGGGAAATCTCTGTACCTTCCTCTCAATTGTGCTGTGAAAAAAAAAAAACGCTCTAGAAAGAAACTAAAAGAAAAAATTAGAAACCTTTCTCTGATTAATAAAAAGGGAAGTCAGGCAGATTCAAAGTGTAAGAACTTGATACATCATTGTTGCTTTGAATATGAAGGGGGCCATGTGAGAAGAAATGGGGGCCTCAGGGAGCTGAGGGCAGAGCCTGAGTACCAGCCAGCAAGGAAACATAGACCTTAGACCTTCAACCTATAACCTAGAACCAGGTTCTGCCAGCAACTTGAATGAGCTAAAAGATAGATTCTTCCCCACGCCTCCAGGTGAGAGCCCAGCCAACATCAAAATGTGAGATCCTGTGCAGAGGGAGAAGTCCAGCGCATTCTGATTTCTGTGTTCAATGTTCTCTTATAAGATTTTTAAATGAGGGGGAAAAAAGCCTTTTATATTTACTCACTCATTTAATATTTCTAGTACTCTTCATTTTTTTATGTACATTTGAGTTTCTATTTCATGTCATTTTCCTTCAGCCTGAGGAAACTCCTTTTACAATTTTTTGCAGTGCTAGTCTATTGGCAATGAATTATCTCAGCTTGTTTTTATCAAAAATGTCTTTATTTTACTCTACTTTTAAAGAATCTTTTCACTACATACAGAATTCTAGGTTAGCAGTTCTTTTTTTTTTAATTTCAGCACATTGGATGCCATTCCTTTAACTTTGGGCTTACGCTGCTTCTGACAAAAATTCTGTAGTAAATCTCATTTTTGTTCTCTTGAATATGATGTGTCTTTTTTTCTCTGGTTTCTTTAAGATTTTCCCCTTTCTCACTGGTTTTCATCAGTTAGATTATTATGTGCTTTGATGTGGTATCTATGTATTCTGCTTGGTATTCACTGAACTTGTTGAATATGGAGATTTATATTTTTCATCAAATTTGGAAATTATTTTCTGATCCCTGTCTCCTTTGGGGAGACACATATGTTAGACTACATAATACTGTCACTGAGGCTCTCTTCCTTTTCATTTTGCTTCAGGTCTTTTTCTCTCTGTGATTCAACTTAGAGAATTTCTATTACTACATCTCCAAGTTCATTAATTTTTCTCTTCTTTGGTGTCTAATCTACAGCTAAGCCCATTTGGTATAATTTTCACTGTAGACATTTTATTTTTTCAGCCCTAGATGTCCTGTTTGATTTCTTTTAATATCTTTAATTTCTCTCCTTATTGTCTTCAGGTTTTCCCTTGAATTTTTGAGCATGTTTATGATGGCTCTTTTAAAGTTCTTTTCTATTAATTCCATCATCTCTGTCATGTCTGTGTCTGTTTATATTTTTATCCTGGTTACGGGCGTCTCCTGGTTATGCTTCAATGAAGGTCTAACTTTTAATGGATGCTGAATGTGATGGCTTTGTGATATGTCACCTTGGCTAGGCTGAACTACAGTCCCCAGAATTCCCTTTCTAGTATGTTTCCAGTTACGGTAGGGTACAAGGGATATTTCTCTCATAGGAGTTGGAGCATGGAAGGGAAACTGAAGCTATTTTGTAATACACACACACACACACACCCCCTTTCCCAGAGTTTCAATCAAACACAAATCTAGGTGCCGTTTTGAAGAAATTTTGCAGATGTAATTCAAGTCCATAATCAGTTGTCTTTAAGTTAATAAAATGGAGAGTATTCTAAGTGGGCCTATAGTTTTAATTAGGCTGTGAGGCAGGGGTCAATTCAAAAATACTGTTTTATTATTGCTCTACAGTGCCACCTTTGTCATAAATTATATAAATGCGCCTGCTCTTAGCTCTCCATTTCCATTCTATCAGTCCATTTGTCTATGTTTATGTCAATACCATAGAGTCTAAAAGTCTTATAGCAGAGTGAGAGTGAGTTCTATCACATCGATCTTCCTCAGCAGTGTCTTGGTTATTCTATCTATGAATTTCCATATAAATTTGAGAATCACCTTGCAAAAAAAAAAAAAAAAAATGAGGCCTCGGGCCTCCGCTGAGCTCAGAGATTCCAAACAATGACTAGATCTGAAATTCTCTTCTTTCTTCTCCCCACCGTGCTTCCAGCCTACTGTGCTCTTCCCTGGCTGTCTGCCTGCCCTATGGACTCCAGGCTTGCTTAGCCAATTCCTGCAACTGTGTAAGCCAGTTCCTCTAATAAATTCATGTCCTATATATATGACTCCCACTCACCCTGCTTCTCTGATTGAACCCTGACTACTTAACCCTTACACTGGTCGTCGTGAATATTAGGTTGTCGGGTGTCTGCGCTTTGTTCTCTTCCTTTAAAGGGCACAGAAGTTAGCTCTAGCAGACAGTTATTTGTGAGACAGCTTTGCATCCTCTGATTGCATCATTTGGCTTATTTTTTAAGCTTTGCTAGGGGAAGTCAAACAGGGCTGATTTAGCCCTACTACTAATGTATGACCCTTCTGGAGCCTTTACTAAATGATCCAGGCGTTCAGAGGGGTTTCTCTCCTTTGGCTAGTCATAACTCAAACATCTCCAAGCCCTACATGAGCTCTGGGAATTGTTCTGTTTGGGGAATTATAGTTTTCTTTGCCTGGTGATGTGGAGTTTTTTCCTATGTGGGCATAACTAACTACCCAGCCAAAGATTCAAGGGGACCCCAGTGCTGACTTCGGGAGGGCTTTCTCTACATGGCTCCCTCCTCTCTGATACTCTGTCTGGCAAATTCCGGCTACTTTGGCCTCCCCTCAACTCACTGAGACCACTGGCTCTGCTTGGGTACCTCTTGTGCCATCATCAGGAAAGTGTCTCCAGGCAGAAAGCCAAAGCAATCTTAGGGCTCATCTCATTTGTTTCCTTTCTATTGGGAATCACAATTCTGCACTGCCCATTCCCTAATGTCTGAAAACATTTTTTTTAATATAGTTTGTCTAATGAATTGGTGTTTACGGCAGGAAGGTAAGTCTGGTACTAGATATTCCATCATGGACAAAAGTGGAAACCCACCTCCTTCTCTGGAAGATGGAAAAGACTTTCAGTGCATTCAATGCTGGTAGGAAAGAACCATTAGAGAGGAAGAAGTTGAAGATAGAAAAGAGGGGGTGACTGATGGTCAAGGTCTCTGGAGAGCAGGGCTTTGTGCATACATGGCCTTGGGGAAGAGGAGAGAAAAGAGTTGGGGACCCTACAAAGAGAGACAGCAGCTGTTTGGGTTGATGTGCAGTCAGAGTGTTAAGGCTGGAATTGTCTTAAGGACCGTCTAGTCTAAAGCTCCATTGTATAAATGAAGAAACTTCAGCTACCGGGATTGTGACTTGATCAAGGTTATAGTTTCTCTGAGTGGCAAAAGCAAATGCAACCCCTCCATTTCTGTCTCTTCCAGGTTTTCTTCCTAACTTGCACCTCTATTTCAGAATGCTTTGTAGGTTCCTTTTCCACCACCCACATCTTCCAGACTCCAAATCCTTATTTGTGCACCAAGCCAGAAGGAGGGGTGGCTTCAGTTAGGCTTGAAGATGTGAGCTACTTCAGGATGGACAAATAAGGGAGACAAGGGTGATCTGAGTCTGGGCGAACAACCAAAGCAGAGTTACAAATGATGCATTCTTCTGGGAGCAGAGAGGAAACTGAGCCAGCTAGAGCAAAGGATTTTGTCTATGAAGGCTGAAAATTAGGGTACCAGATTATGGAGAGCTTTGAATGCCAGGGGGAGGAATTAAGAATTATCTCTGCTTTCATTAATTTATTTTTTTAATGTATCAAATGCTTACTATGTGCAGTCTCTGTACTTGGGACTCAGTTGGGAGCCATTGAGAATTTTAATGAAGGGAGTGAAAAGATGAAAGAGGCAAATACCAGGATGTACATGGAATAATACCAGGTCCTTTGAAACATAATAAGTAGATTCACACTTGAATGCTGAACCTAAGAGACTGTGCTTACTACCAAACGTAAAATAGATAGCTAGTGGGAAGCAGCCGCATAGCACAGGGAGATCAGCTCGGTGCTTTGTGACCACCTAGAGGGGTGGGATAGGGAGGGTGGGAGGGAGGGAGACGCCAGAGGGAAGAGATACGGGAACATATGTATATGTATAACTGATTCACTTCGTTATAAAGCAGAAACTGACACACCATTGTAAAGCAATTATACTCTAATAGAGATGTTTAAAAAAAAAAAAAAAGAGACTGTGCTTACCTGAAAATATAGGTATTGTCTTTGTTTTCCTGACATGGGTGCACACACAGTTGGCTGTGTATTCAGTTCAGTGAATGGCAGAGCAGAAAACCCCAGAACTTGGATTCAGAAGACCTTGGTTTTGGTCCTGGTTCTGCTTCTGTGTCACTTCACTGTCTAAGCCTTTGTCTCCTCGTCTAAAAGAAAAAAGAAGAAAGAAAGAAAAGAACAAAAGACCAGAGATTTCTCTTTTGATTTAAATCCTAAAGCTTCCTTCTCTTGGCCAGAATAAGATTCATTAACTTATTCAGGGATCTTTATTAAGTGCTTTCATTAAGCACAGTCCCAGTGGCCAGGATACAAATGGAAGAAGATAGCATCCCAACCTCAAAGCATCCCATTCCGGGATCTCATATACATTAAAATACTGTAAACGTGGGTGGATGGAGAAGCAAGGACACAACTACTTAGGTCGCCCAGCCTCCCGCGCTGAATCACTTAGACCCGTCTGGCTTCCTTTGCTGTAAAGAGTGGACACTGGGCCCCCATCAGTCACTTCACAGAGTATGGTATCCAGTGAGAGAAGAGACCTTCAGACACGTCAAGACACAAGTGTATCACAGGTCGCGTGGTGAGGGCAGTGAGCTTGCTGGAGCTCTTGGTGGAGCCCATCCCCCTCTGAAAGGGATGTAAAGCAGATAATTTTAGACTGACTTTCCTGAGTCCCAGTCTGACAAATGGAGCCTCTGCAGCCCAGGGGCAAGTCGTATTTGAGTGCTTGGGCTGCCCCAACAAAACACGCAGACTGGGGGCTGGAAGTCCGAGATCACTGCGCAGGCAGGGTTGGTTTCTCCCGAGCCCTGTCTCCTTGACCCACAGACAGCTGCCTTCTCACTGAGTCTTCACAATGGCCTTTCCTCAGTGCTGGTGCATCTCTGGTGTCTCTTCTGTATCCCAAACTCCTCTTCCTATAAAGGCACCAGTCAGCTTGGATTAGGGCCCACACCAGCGTTCTCATTTTAACTTAATCACCTCTCTAAAGGCCCTATCTCCAAAGTCCACAGTCACGTTCTGAAGTCCTGGAGGCTAGGACTTCAACATAGGGATTTGGGGAGACCACAAGTCAGCCTACAACAGAAGTCAGGTCTGGGTCTCACTGCTTAGCACGGTGGGCGTAAGGATGAAGGGCAAGGGCAGGGGCAGCTGTCCTCTGAGGCGAAAGCACTGCCCATGTGCCATGGCACCAAAGAACCAAAAAAAAGAAAAAAAATGGAAGCAAGCAGCTTCCGGGGCAGGCACAGTTGCATAGAATGTGCGAACATGGCCCTTTTCCAAAATTAGAGAACTCTGCTCAGTTGTGTAGCTCTAAATAGTGCCTGTTGCTGCTGCTGTCAGCTTTTTTCAGACCTCATCCTTGGCATCTTTTAACGCTTTGGTGAGCACCAGCGTGGCCCTGAGGACGGAGGCGTTGGGTTCTTCCCTCCTGGGCCGCGAGAGCCCTCTTGCCGGCCTGTGGGCTCTGTTCATCTGGATTGTTTTCTCCTTCTCTGATCTCACTTTCAATGCTGGCCATTACTCCCAAGAAGAGAAAGGCGGGGGTCTGGCGCACTGAACAAGAAATTATTTCAAAGAAAGCCCGTTGCCATGGGAACCAGTTGTCAAATGCTTTTCTGCGCGGGAGGTGTCGAGCGGGGCCACAGATTTTCTTAAGCACTGCCTGCTTTTCTTTTTAATTTGTGACAAGAACAATGAATGATTGGAGAGGGAGATGGGCAGGAAAGCACTTGTCTGTCAGAAATTCGTCCTGACAGTGAGCCAGGGGCTTTACTTATGGCCTGTTCTAACGGAGCCTTCAAATTGCAGTGCTTAGGGATGGGGCGGGGGCCGTGGTGGAGACTGCATGAGGAAGCAGTGAGAAAGCCACCTTAGATGGATCAGAAAATGTTCCTAGAGGGACTTCCCTGGCAGTCCAGTGGTTAAGACTCTGCACTTCCAATGCAGGGGGCACCGGTTCTATCCCTGGTCGGGGAACTAATATCCCACATGCCACGTAGCGCGACCAAAAAATTAAAAAAAGAAAAAACAAAGAAAATGTTCCTAGAGCTTTTACTCTGTGTTCAGCCTCAGGCTAGGCTCTGTCAGGGATGCTGAGGAAGTCAGATTAGTCTGTAGTTTTGGAGAGTCACAATCTCATTG